GCAGGAGCCCCGCACCAGCAGCAGGAAAAAGGACAAAAGCGAAGCCAAAGGTAGGTCAGGCTTTTCATAACCAGCACAATTAATGCTCTTCCTTGAGCGAATCTTAATCCCTGTGGGTTTGCTCCAGACCTTGGGATTTGCCTATGTGCTTGAGGCATGTGGCTCTTGGAAAGCTCCCCGGTGCTTGTCAGAGGGGTGGGAACTGGCAGGAATGTGCATCAGTTGGCTACAGCATCTGGGGAGAGGGGTTTGGGTACCTGGAGGCACATTCCTTAAGTCAGAAGAAAAACATTGGGGACCCTTTCCCAGGAAGGAGGCTCAGGGGTTCCAGGGGAGACTCCCAAATGTAGAGAGAAGAGCTAAGGGGGCCCACACTGAAGGAAGCAGAGGCAGCCCAGGCTGTGGCTGTAGGTGGGTGGGTTTGTTGCCAGTCCCCATTCCAGGTGTCTGCTCACCTTTCCCAGGAAAACCAGCGGTCGGGAGCGGAGCAGGAGAAGATTTTGATGCTCTGATCTCTGCTGCCATGGAGGCTGACAGGACCTGTGCCTTCCCCCGCTGCAAAGCCTCTGTCACAACCCTGGGCCAGCTCTGCCACCACTGCCACCGGTGCTACTGCCTCAGCCACCACATCCCTGAGGTACAGCAGGGCGGGCTTAACCTGGGAATGTTCCCCGTGGAGCTCCCTGGGCAGGGTTTCCTTGCAGGGGGTTTCAGCAGGGCCCTGTCACACTCTGTGCTGAGCTGCAGGTACACAGGGCTGCCAGGTGCCACACCTGGGCTCTGCTCACCTCTTCCCTAAAGCTTTTCCTTCTTTTCCTCTCACTTTGCCCTTCTTTGCCGTTTTCTGGCATTTACACCCTCAGGCCACGTGGATAAATTGAGACAGGGAGGAGAAATGGAGAGGCACAAGCTTAAGGAAGTGACTGGAGGGAGCCTGGGCTTCATTTCCAGCCCTTTGCAGATTCCATCTGCACCCCAGGGGTGATTTCCAGCCCTTTCCAGATTCCCTCTGCATCCTGGGGACAGGTCCCCAGCACGGAGAAGTGCTGCCTGGTCAGCAGCTCAGAATTCCCTGTGCCCCTGACCCTCCTCCCACAGCTCCCAGGTGCTGTTCGGTGCCCTGTGGAGCCTCCCGGAGCTCAGCAGCCCTATAAATCCTTGGCACAGCTTTTCCCCCTGTCAGGAGCTATCTGTTTCCATGGCAAAGAATAGCTGTATTTATGGTCACTCACCATCCTGGGGGATGTGAATTTATATCCTGCAGAATCGCCTCGCCCTGCTGAATTGTAACGAGCCTCCAACGAGGAACAGTTGTAGGGATTCAAATCCCTGCTGGACAGTTTTCCTTGCTTTTTAAAGCCCATCCCTTTTCCCAGATGCTATTAGGCTTCGATGTGGAATAGCCCCAGGGCTTTTGCCACGGCTCTCTGGGACCCCAGTTCGTGGAAACATAAATGACTTCGGGATGGACCAGGAGAAGGGGTCAGATTTTAGGATCTCACCTGTGGGAGATGATTCTGGTGTTGGATTTGGCTCCACACCCCTCGGACACGGCCAGGGCTGGAGCACAGGTTGGGCTGGGAGAGCTTTGCCTGCACAGAACGAGCTTTATGAAGGTTTTTTTAATTCCACTGCAGGAGACAGATCAAATTACATGAGAGGAGCAGATCCGTGGCTAAAAAGGTCTCTTATTCCCCAAATTACTTCTCCCAGTTCACTGGAAAGGAAGAGGAAGGAGCCACTTGAAACATCCCAAAGGATGATTTACTTGCCTGGGCAGAGTCCAGTAGCAGAAAAATCACCTTTATATTTCGTGAGAGGAGCTATAAATGATGGCTTAACAAAATATATAATAATACGTAAGAATAAGTAATAATATTGAGCATCAATTTATTATTAAGAATAAATGATGATAATGAATAGTAAACAAAAATAAAAATTAGTATATAATAATATAAGCAGAAGGAGCCACTTGAATCATCCCAAAGGATGATTTGCCAACTGTGCAGTCCAGGAGGAGAAGAATCCCCTTTATATTTTGTTCTGAAGCATAAATGAGGGTTTAATAAAATACATAGTAATAAGAAATCATTTATTAATAATAATAAAGGTGGATTATAATTAACAATAAATAATGATTATAATATCTGATAAATCTATAAATTTATATAATGTAAAAATATCAAAATATAAATATTAATAAAATGAAAGTTAAATTAAAGGCTAAAATAAAACACATCTATGTGTATATATAGTAATATATATAATATATAATGATATATAATACATAATGTAATAATAATAGATAATAATAAATATAGATAATGAATAAGAATTAAAAATAAATAACAATGTAAATTATGGTTACTAACGATAGGAGATGGTTTTAGGAGGATGCGAAGGTGGAAGAGGAATTCCACGCTCTGGGAATGAAACCCCCTGGTTCCCAGGTGAGTGATCCCTGCCCTGCTTCCCAGCTGGTGTCCGTTCTCCCCCTGCAGGTCCACGGCTGTGGGGACAAGGCCAAGGCCCAGGCACGGCAGCGGATCAGCAGGGAAGGGGTCCTGTATCCCGGGAGTGGCTCCAAGGACAAATCCCTGGACCCAGCCAAGCGAGCCCACCTCCAGCGGCGCCTGGACAAGAAGCTCAGCGAGCTGACGAGCCAGAGGAAGGGCAGGAAGAAAGACAAGGAGAAATGAGGGACCTGAATCCTGCTTTTTTAACCTCAGAGCTGCCGCTCAGCCCTCCCAGGCCGGAGCTGCTGAGTCCTGGGGGGAGTGGGGGGCTCGATTCTGGGGGGGACACAGCCTGGAGCCAGAGGCTGGGGAGGGATCTGGGAAGGGAGAGGTGCTGCATTGTCCTGGTTATCCGTATGGACACGGTGATGGATGTTCACAGAGACCTGAGCTCACGGTTACAACAGGCATTAAACACCCAAAGCAATGAGCTGTCACTGTCACGTCAATCCCTGAGGCAGCAAAAGATGGATGTCTGGGAGCAGGAACGTGGGAGGCCCTGGAAACCCCGGGTGACCCTCTGCTCCAGGAAGGGTGACTAAGGAAATGGATGCCAGCCCAGTAATCCTTCGGCACTGCTCGGAGTGACCCGGCGTGTCCACACCGCAGCCAGCACAGCCCAAACCCCTCGGGGCTGCCCCATCCCCTCACACCCGGGAGAAGGGCTTGGCAGAGGGCTCAGCCCCGCTCCGGGGGCATGGGGAGCTCCTGGGACACCAAGATCCACTGGGAACTCCACAGCAGTGAAGGCAGTGCAGCCCTCCCAGGCAGGAGGGAGCCTTGTGTCCCTCCCAGACCTTTTCCCAATCCTGTACCCCCAAACTAATCCATCTCTCATGTTGCTTCCTGCCAGTTGATCCCCCTTTCCAAAGCCTCTCTCCATCCCCACACAGCCCCTGCCCTATCCCCTCTCCTTGCTGGCTCCAGTCCCACTCACAGGGTCCACCCATCCCCCCTAGAAATAGCTCCAGCAGCATTTTTTTGCCCTCAGGATGAAGGAAAAGGTGCTGAGGTGCCTTGAAAGAGAAATGTCCAGAGAGGGGCACAATAAACAGCCCCAAACCACATGTTCCCCATCATTTTGGGGCTGAACATCACCAGTGTTGCCCGGGGTGATTCCAGAACCTGTGGAAGTCACTCACCTCATCCCGAGCAAGGCTCAGCACTTGGCAGGAGCTGCAGGACAGCCGAGGATTTCTGTGTCTGTCCCTTCCCAAATGCTGGCTGCGGTAGCTAATAAGAAAATTTTCCCCCCAAACCTCGGGGCCTGTGAGTACTGGCTGTGAACAACTTCCCAAAAAAAACCTTCCTCAATCCTTCAGGAAAGCTCATCCTTCCAGCCCCTCCATCCTTGGCTCGTGCCTCGGTGCCTGGGGCTGGCCGTGCGTCAGCCACGGAGCGATGGCACCGACTCACCTGGCAGCAGATGGGACAGGGGGGCTCCTGGAGGGGAAGGTGGGGAGGAGGAGGAGGAGATGGAGCATAGGAGAGGGAAATCTGGGCATCAGTGAGCGGAGACAGGCATGTACGGGAAAGGAGCCGGAGCGGAGGGGCGTGATGGAACTGGGACATCACAGCCGTGTCCCAAAGCAAAGGTCAGGCAGGACAGAGGAGAAGGGAGAAGTGTCACCAGCTCACGGGATAACTCACCTCGGAGTCACCTTTAATCAGGGGGAAAACGGCTAAATGGCTCATTCCCACTTTTTCCCCCAAGGCAGCCACATCCCAGTGTGTGCTCGCCCCGCGGCGCTGCTTTCCTGGCACGCGGCCCCCAGCTTTCCCAGCCTGGCTCCCCACCAGCTTCCTGCAGGCAGGGAAAAGCCGAGGCTCCAGGCAAGGGGGGATGCGGCCCCAGGGCATCCCCTGCCACGAGGGGCTCCAGCAGAGCCCTCTGCCTGTCACCCTCGAACCCAAGAGCTTGGAAACCAAGTCCAGCCCCCTCCTTGCAGCCAGCGGAGACGGGCAGGGATTTGCTGCGTGGGAAAACAGATGGAAGGAGAAGCCATATGTAATAACAATTGCTTTTTCTGCTCTTATTGCTCCCTTTCTCCGTTCTCACTGGAAACGTTCCGTCCCCAGCACGACACACAGAAATCCCTCTTAAAAATCCCCCCAGGATCGCCGCCCGCACTGAGAGGAGCCACGCTGTGCTGGCATTTATCACCCTCATCAAAAACCCACATTCCAAAGGAATCCTCCCTCTCCCCTGCAGCCTTAGGGTCCGTGTCTGGGGATTCCACCGATTTTGAGGCCGCTGGGATGCTCATCCCAGCCGTCTGGGGAGGTTCTGGCTGGTTTTGGTCCGTCTGGGCTCCTTGCCAGTGGGTCTGTCCATCAATCCCCACACGTGGAGGAACCAGGAGGGCAGAGATGAAGCCACAGAGTCGCTCCATCCATCCTCGGGGTGTTTTAGGCAGGAGCTGCCCCTCTGAGGCGCTGGCAGCTCGGCCTCTGGGGTGTCACAGAGTCCTGCTCAGCCCCTGCCCGGTGGCAGAGCCGGTGTTGGGGTACAGCCCCCCCAGGAGCCCCCCTAATTCCTGCGGAGTGGGTGCCACATGGACACGGGCTTCCTCAGCGTGGCCAGCATCTGGTTCCAGTGCGTGGTGCCCATCCCGCTGGCGGTGGGGCCGATGAGCACGTGGCCCGTGTTGTCACCACGTCCGTCCTCGCCGCTCTCGGCCACCGTCACACGCAGGGACAGCTCCTGGGGGGCACAACGGGGGTGTCACCACACACCAGCCCCCAACCCAGACACGTATCCCTGTGCTCTTCCCAAGTGCACACACACACACACACATAGTGCCAGACCATCTGTACTCCCTCCACCCCATAAATTCACCCCCAAAACAGTTGTACCCCACATACATACCCCTCTGTGCCCCCACCCTCTTCAAACCCACTCCCTGCACTTGAAACCTCCCCCAAATCCCCCCACACCACTATATATACACACCCTCTTATACCCCCATACTTACACATCCTCCTGTTTTTCCTACATCCCCTAAACCCAGATATGCCCCTGTCCACATACACAACCACCCCTCCATACATATGCACACCTTATATCCCAGCCCACACATCTACATCCCCCCACAAGAGTCCCCCACATGCATCCCCCCCAACCAACCACTTCCACACATTCACATTCCCTCTGACAGACCCCACACATCCACATCCCCTCCAAACAGCCCCCTGACCAATCCCCCAAAGTCACCCACACCCACATCCCCCCAAAAAGCCCCTCCCCATGTCTGCTCCATGCCCTGCCCCGTTCATACACCCCCAAACCATCCCTGCACACCCCTGGCCCCCACAGCTCCCGGGATCCCCCCAGAACCCCTCATCCTCCTGGAACTCCCCGCTGGAGGATTTGGGGAGCTCGAGGAGCGATGGGATGTGCCCCAAGCTGGGCCAGACCTGGAGCACGATGGCCGGCACGGAGAAGATCATGGCCTCGTTGAACACGGGGTTGGTGTCCCCCCTCTTCACCGCCGTCTTCTTCTTGCTGATCTTCCTCCCGTCCTGCAGCAGGTACACCTTGACGAAGGGATCTGCTCGAGAGGTGGGGGAGAGACCCCAAGATCAGTCACATGTGTCCCCAGGGACTCAGAGAAAGGCGGGAGGGGACCCTCTCTAGTAGCCCTTCCTCAGCGGGAGCCGGTCCAGTAAAGATCTGTGTGGTCAGTGGCACAAACCAGGGCAAACCTCAGCCCACCACGGGCCCCCAGCGCCCACCTGACCCCCCCAGCCCACTCACCTGCGGTCACCTTGCCGTTGGTCCACACGAGGTTCTTGGCCTTGACCACCACCACGGTGAGCCGCTCGGCCGTGGGCAGGTAGCTCAGGGAGAGCAGGATCTCCCCCACCGTGTCCACGGGCTGCGGGACACAACGCCCCGTCACCCACCGACCCCTGGGACACCCCCCCGCCCCGAGACACGAGGTGGGAGACAGGACACCCCCCCCGGCCCCGCTCACCTTGCTCATGTCCTGCAGGTAGAGCCAGGCGTTGAAGGGGCGCGTGGCCAGGTCCAGGTCGGAGAGCTTGAGCTCGGCCACGCCGGTGCTGACGCTCCTCTCGTCCTCGTCGATGCCGAAGACGGAGAAGCGCAGGCTGTTCTCCTCCAGCGCCGCCGGATCCAGCGGGATGGAGAAGCGCTCGTCGAAGGCCACGGAGTAGGCGCTCCTCTGGATCTGCCACGGGAAAGGGGGGTTGCCCTGGCACCCCTCGGGTTTAGGGGCCACGTCCAAGACCCACCTTGTTTCTCCTCACGGGAGCTGCGAGGAGCGTGTGGCCTCGGGGGGCGAGGGCATCCCTGAGAACAGCGAAGTCAGGGAGGGCATCCCCAGCCTGAGGGAGCTGGGGGGTTCCAGCCTCCACGGGGATGAGTTATTTTCCACCCCACCCCAGCAACCACTCAGCGATTGGGGCAAAAATCAGGGCTGTGACCTGCCCCCAGCACCTGTTAATTCTTTTAATTAAAAAAAATCGAGGTTGGTCTGATGCTCTCAGATCCATCCTGGTGCCCTGAGAGCTTGGATGTGCATCTGGCTTAGCCACATCGGGCTCCAGGATTTTGCCGAGGGGGTGTAATCCCCAGCCCCACTCTGAGACAGAACTGAACCAATCCCTGGATGTGCCCAACGGGAATGGTGCTGTTTGGCTGCCACTGTCCCCGTGTCACATCATTCCCTGGGAGCAGAGGCAGCAGCAGCTCCCAGGGCCCATCCTGAAGGTGTTGGTCCCAAAGCTGTTTTTTCAAACCCCTCCATAAGCACCACCAAAAGCTCTGACTGGGCCTTCATCTGTGGCCTGGGGGCAGCCGAGGACAGAGTGCTGGTGAATTATAAATAATGATGCTAAATAATAAATACCTCCAGAGCAAAAACGAAGAGCCTGAGATCTGGATGGAAAAACGGTCTAAAAGGGCACTGTGGAAATATTTTGGAGGCAGCAGAGGGTTTGTGTGGATGGAGCAACACCTCATCCCCCACAGAGGGGTTTCTTGGTGGGATGAAGATTCCAAATAAATATCCTGATTAAATCAAACTGACTGACCCTGAGCTCTCCAAAAAGCAGCTGCTGAAGGAAAACTGAGGCTCCTGCTTTCTGAGACCAGTTTTTGGGGTGCTTAAAAGGAGAAGTTTTGCCCCAAATCCACCCCTGGTGGTGGACCTGACATTGCAGCCACATGGATCTTTCTGCATGGAGAGGGAAAAGCTGTGGTAAGGAGAGGGATTGCAGGGCCTCTGGGGACTCAGGGGGCCGTGGGACCATGGCAAGACACCAAGAGCAACTGCCCAAACTGCCACTGCCCTCCAAGTTCCACCCCAGACCACTTCTTCCACCTCCTACAGCATCCCTGGCACCTGGAACAGGGCAATTCAAGCAGGAAAACCTGCCACCAGCCATGCTTGGAGATGACAAAGTCAGCCCAAATCCCAGCCAAAGGGGAGACACCTCTGTCTCTGTCGAGCCTCTGATGTGCAAATCCACCTGGGACACCCCCCAAAATCCTGTGCCAACTGCATCCAGTCCCGACGCACCGGGAGCTTCCTGCCCCCAAACCCCCATCACTGCCCTGGGAAGCTGAGATCCCCAAAATCCCATGCCAACCATATCCAGCCCTGGCATGCCTGAAGTCTCCTAATCCCAAACCCCAAAATTGCCACTGCCCCGGGAAGCTGAGACCCCCCAAAATCCCGGCACCCGGTCCTGATGTGTCTGGAGCTCCCTGCTCCCAAACAATCCCCCACCGCTGCCCCGGGGAGTGTGCCCAAGGGATGCTGCCAGCCAAAATCCCACGCCAGGGTTCTGCAGGGGACCTGGGGGGACTCACCCGGGAGATGCCGACGATCTGCTCGGCCGGGAGGAGGCTGATCCGCATGAAGCAGGACTCGAACCGCGCGTCCTCCTTCTCCAGCAGGTCCTTGCCCTGCAGCAGCGTCACGTGCAGGGCGGCCGCCTTCCCGTCGTACTCCATGGACACCTCCACCTGCCCCACCGTGAAATCCTGCCCGAAGTTGTTCCCGATGGACGAGATGGAGTTGAGGGAGTCGGCCGAGATGGATTTCTTCAGGGGGCCGTAGTGGGCCAGGCCCAGGTCTCTGCCCATCAGCTCCAGGCTGCCCAGCTCCTGGATGCTCTCCAAGGTGTCCTCTGCCCTCAGGCTGCTCCTGCGGCTGGCAGCGCTCTGACCCGGCGTCCGCTGCGAGCCCGGGGCCAGCCCTCGCTGCCAGGGAAAGGAAACCAGGCGATGCCATCCCGTCCCTCCAGCTGGGCTTCTCCGGCGCCTCTTTGGATGCCTCCCGGCCCCTGCCTGGCCCCAAGCTGCTGCGGCAGCGAGCCCGGTGCCTCCCGCAGCTCCCGGCTCCACCGATCCCCCCGAACGCTCCACCAGCACCGGCTCGCCGCCCGTGGCCGTTCCCGCTGGGAGCCGGGAGATATTTTCACCCTTCCAGCATCCCACATGTTGCAAAGGGAAGGAGACCAACCCGACTTTCCCCCTTTTACCTTGTGCCTGACGTCCGGATACGCGGCTCCGTACTTCTGCTCCAGGTACCGGTAGTCATAGTTCGGGAAGGGGGAAGGGGCCGGGTAGCTGCCGGAGCGCCAGAGCTTCCAGAGGTTGATGGCTGCGATTCCCAGCAGTGCCAAGGCGCCGGCGGCGTAGAGCCCGATCTCCCACCGCGGCGGGCTGGAGGCCACTGGAGGGGACAAGGGGCTCCGTGAGCCCGTCACGACCCCCGGGCTGAGCCTTCAGCCCCAGCCGCCTCCATGCCAGGAACTCGGCTCCGAGCTCCGAGGACGGGATGGGCCAAGGGGGGGGGATAAACCACAGCTCCCACCCGGGTCAGGCAGCGGCTTTGCCAGCCAAAAAAAAAATGACAGTCCCGGCTTGGCTTTCTCGGGAGGTGACGTGCTCCTGCTTCCCAGCCCCGCTTCCCAGCGAGTGGCTGCATCACTCCCGGGGTGCCGGGGGTCCCTTCGCCAGCTGCGGCTCCGTCCCACCGACAGATGTGCCCGGTGCGCATCTGCATCGCCCTCGCTGCTGCCTGGGTCCCCACGGGCTGGGGATGCCAGGAAAATCCAGAAACAGGGAAAAAACCAGACCCCAAAGCTGCTGGAAACGGGGCAGAGCCCCCCGGGTGCTGCTGGAGCGAGCAGGGAGGGAGCGCCGGGCTCGGCAGCGATGCTCCAGCGAGCGGTTCCTGCTGCATTGCACCAGCCTCCATCACTCCCGCGCGGAACCGACACCGACCGCTCCGGGGAGCACAAAAACAGCGGGAAAAGAAAGGATTTGTCGTCCCAGAGCGCTGCCGGGGAGCCCTCCGGCATCACGGCGCGGCGCTCCCTCCTTCGGAGCCGGAAAAAGCCCAAAGCCAGGGCTGAACTCCCACATCGCATCCGAGCACAGGCACAACCTGCTGCTCCCTCCAGCCCTCCTCCGGCAGGAACAGAGAAAGGATGAGCAGAAGGAACTGACTATCTGCATCCAAAGCACCTAATCTGGATCCCGGGAGCAGCCCAGAGGGACCTCAGAGGTTAAACCTCGGGGTAGGAGCCAGGCCCTGCTTCCTCCACCTCTCCCCAAACCCCATAAGGACTCTGATTTATCCCTGCATCCCGGCTAAGGATGGTGGGGGAAGAAGTCAGAGGTTTCCCGTGCCAGAGTTCCCAGGCTCCTGCTACGACAGAGGGGCAAAACCGGGAATAAAAATAAAATTGGCAGAATAATCCATTACTGGCACCTGCTTCTGAATAACTCCAGGTACAAGAATCCCAGCTGAACTGCAAACTGCTTCCTCCTCATTCCTGCCCCTTTCTGAGGGCTGAGCACTAAAACTTGGGGGCTTTAAGGGTTTTACCCTTGTTTTAGGAAACTAAACCCCGTATCTTGGAGGCTTTAAGGGTTTTACCCACGTTTTAGTAAACAAAATCCCACAGGCATGTGGAGCAGAGGGTTCTCCTGGCGGGAAGCAGCGAGGACCAGCCATCCCCCCCCCACAAAAGACCTCGGTGTGAGCCCGGCCAGCTCTGCCCCAAACCCTCCCCGGGCTCTCTCGGGAGGACTCACCGCTGAAGCGGGATCTGCTGACGTGCCCGGTGTCCATGGCAAACGCTCCCTGCGAGCGGGACAGCCTGGAATGCGCGAGACACGGCGTCAGGGTGAAGGCAAATCGTTCAAAAATCGAACGAACGCCTTGTGATTTTCCTGCAGTGAGCGTTCCATCACTGCTCCCCCTCCGCCGCTCCCGGCCTTGGCTCCTCTTCCAGGCGCTGAGCAAACGCGCCGAAGCCTCTCAGCCTGGAGGAGGGATGGAAATCGCTCGGGAAGAGGCAGAGCCGCTCGATTTACCTCGGGAGTGTTTAATGGGTGACATTCCCAACTGGAATGTCCTCCCTCCCGCAGCCCTTAAAGCCCTTTGCTGCCTTTCCAGCTTAAATCTTCCTTCTCCTCCTGCAGTTTGCCAGACTCTCCCGAGGTTCTGCCCTGGCCCCAGGTGAGGGGGGCAGTCCCACTCCCCAGTTTGGGGTTGCTGCAGGTGATGCCATTCCCCAGGAATCAGCTCCTGCAGTGGGAAAGCTCCGCCACCTTCCCCCTGTGAAGGTTTTCCCAGTCGAGTCACACAAGAGATCCATCCTAATGTAAGGAAGCTGCTCCTCCAGGCAGATCCCAGTGAAGGCACCACGGATGCCGAAGGGGATTTATCCAGGACAGCTATTTCCTGCTATACAGAGGGGGTTTGGGATCCCCAAAAACACCCAGCAAGCAAATCTAACAGGAACTGAGCCAGAATGCTCCCTGGCATCCGAGCCAGGAGATCACAGCCCATGGGATGCTGACGTGATCCCACAGACCCCCACAGGGACACAACCTCAGCACTGCACCTAAACCCTCTCCCTACCCCCCTCAGAGCCCCCCAGCCCCTCTCCAGAATTTCCACAGCCCCAAAACCTACTCATGGCACAGGAGAAGGAGCTGGGTTGGCCTCAGACGGATGATCCCGCAATATTTGGGTCTCACCTTCCAGCTCCTCTCGGGTGCTCACAGCTTTAAGCACTGTGGGGTGATCAACCCTCCCCAAAACCATCCAGGCTTGGATTTTAACAGGCAAAGGTGGGACTGTCAGCTTGTTATAGAGGAAAATATGAGCTGTGCTGGCCTGGCCTGGCCAGGGACCCTCTGCAGGGACACACAGCCCACTGTTGGGATAACAGGAGGAGGGGGGGGTCCTAAATGCAACCCAAAGGGACAGCAAGGCTAAGGTGGGGCTGGGAGATGCCCAGCTCCTCCCCAGCCTCCTCCCACCGGCACAAACCTCCCCAGGCAACCGATAAAACAGGAATAACCCGGCTGAGAATGTGCTGAACTCGTGTCACACGTGGGCCGAGCTCAGCTCAAGGGATGCTCTGCTGTTTGGTGCTGAAAGCCTGACATCTAAACAGAGCAACACGATGGAGATTTGCCACCTCTTTTTGTGCCCTGAAAAGCTCCCATGCCCTAGCAAGGGGGCTTTGCTCCTTTCCACGTTTCCCAATGTTTGGGGTTTTTTTAATATGAAAATAGCGAAGTTTTCGTGACCGACTTTTCCTGCAGGAGGACAAACCTCCTCCATCTCTTCTCAATTTCTCTTGGAAATTAAAAAGAATTTCTGGTTTTCCTTTTCTTTCAGAGCTTCTCCCCCCAAACCCTCCTTCTCTAAGCAGCAAGTTAAGCAGATTTCCGAGGCATCACCCGGAAAGAGACTGCGGTGCTCAGCTCTAGGACGAAATCCAGAGGTATTTTCCTGTTAGGAAAACAGCATCAACCTCTCCCGAGCAAGGAAACGGAGGTGGAGGTGCTCGGGGAAGGATTTATGGCTTTTTTTTTTGCAAACTAAGCTCTTCCCTGGAGCGTTTCACTGAGCTGCTCTGACATCCCCCTGACCTGCTGCTCAAAATCCTGGGAAATCAAACCTGAGGGATTTGGAAGGAACTGGCACCGTTCTCCCGCTGCCGGCAGCTCAGGGATAGGTGGATTTCTTACCCACAGACCTCAAGACCAGGGTGCAGAGCCCCGGTTTGGGGTAGACAGCCCCAGAATGGGGTGCAGAGTCCCAGAACAGGGTGCAGAGCCCCCTCCATCCATCCCAACGCTCAGGGCCAGGGCAGCTCCATTTTCCTTAGGAGCTGCTGCAGACCTTGGGATCCTTTTCCTGCTTGGAGGGGCAATAAAACAGCTCCATGAGGAGAGAGAAAGAGCATCAAAGCCGTGTGTCCCCCCTGGAAAAGGGGGTCCCCCCCAAACCTTCGGGACTTGTCACCCGGCTGCTGTTTTGGCACCACCACCAGCTGAAGCTGCAGACACAGAAACCAAATTACTGGTCCCAGAGCACCGGGACCAACCCGGGTACGACCCCTCCCCGAGCACGCTGCAGTCCCCAAATGCCCCAGTCCAGGTTCCAGCCATCTCCCCTGCTCATCCATCCCTCTCTGCCGTGCCGGGCGTGCTGAGCCCGGGCTAAACTCGGCTCGCTGGTGCCACTGGTCCTGCGGCTGTGCCCACCCGGGCGGGGCTCTGCCAGCCCCTTCCATCCATCGCCCTCCTGCCCTGCCTGGCCTCCATCCGCAGGGCACAGAAGTGGGATGGAGTTCGCTCCTGGCACGGATAAAAAGACGCATCCCAAACTTGCCAAAACACAAGGATTTGGTCTCCGCGCTCACCCACCGCCCTCCCCGGTCCCTCGCAGGGGACCCATCCCACCCCCACGGGCACCCAAACCGGCGGCCCCCACCGCTGCACCCCCCGCACCTCCCAGTTCCTCCCGCCGCGCTTTACCTGGGCAGGTACGAATCCTCGGGGATCTGCGGGGACCCCCGGAGTGTCCACTCCCACGGCGGGGGGAACGCGGCGACCGCCGTGGTCCGCCCGGCCGGCGGTGGGGACCGGGCAGAGCCCCCTCCGCTGCCCGGGGGTCCCTGAGCTCAGCCCCGGGATCCAAGGAGCTCCTCCCTCCCTCCCGGGATGCTTCCCGGCGGGGGGTACCGGGCAGAGCCCCCCTCTCCGCTGCCCGGGGGTCCCTGCGGGTTGGGAGCTCAGCCCCGGGATCTCCGCCCCCACCCCCCCCTCCCCAATCCGGGATGCTTCCCGGCCGTGCCAGACCGGGAGCGGCTCCGCTCCCTCGCCCAGCCCAGCCCGGGGCGGAGCCGGGCGGCACTGCCCGCTCATCCGTGCGATGAGCTGGGCGGTCTCTGCGCTCGCCAGACCCTCCCCGGGGTTTGGTTTAACCCGGCCCGAACCCCCCCCACCCACCCCGGGCAGAGCGGAGCGGGGGAGAAGCGACCTCCTGGTGTTGCGGGAGATGCTCTGCCCTGCCCGGGGGCGAGGGGCCTGGGCACCCCGCGGAGGGGATGTAGGGGTCTCTCACTCTCGATTTGCCTCCCAGGCTGGCAGCTTTCCTTAGAAAGTTGCCATAAAAACCCCCAAGATCCCACAAAAATCACCCCAAACCCCACAAACCCACCCCAAACCCCAGCCAGGAGCGTGGAGGGACAATGCCAGCTCCCTCATCCCACACCAGAGACCCTCCACTGCCTGCAGGCAGCTCTGGGCACAGGGGGCTTCCCCAAATCCCACTTCCCACTGCTTAGGGACCCTCTTGCCCATCCCAGTGCACCTCTGCATCTCCAGCTCCTCCTCCTCCTGGATCCTGATGAATGTTTCTCTCCATGGGGTCCCACATCCCCTCCCCCTGCCCCTCAAAGCCAGTGGGATCATCACCCCAGAGCCAAATCCTCAGGTCCCAAACAGCTTCCAGCTGTGTGTCCCTCCTGGCCCTGGGGACACCTGGGGCCATCCAGCAAGGTCTGGGCTCTGGATGTTCCTGAGAAAAAAAGCCATCAGATCCTCTCCCTCTGCAGCAAAAGGTGGAACCTTTTGGGATTTGGCCCAAAAAGCCCCTTGGGCAGTTTGGAGACCAAAGGCTCTGTGCCCACCACACCTGTGACACCGTGACCATCGGCCACACTGCCCCTACACACCATCCCAGGGGATCTTCCCTTTCCCTGCCTTCACATCCATGTTTTCAGCCACCTTACCTCGAGTGCCAGGTGACTTCCAGGGCATTAAGGAGTCATTTCAGACAGCAGGAGAATCGCTTCGCTTGGAGAAAATGGAATAATTGCAATTTTGTGGGGAGAAAAGCCCACGCACCCTGAGCAAAGGTGGTCTCAGGGGCCACGGAGCAGTGTGACATTCCAGAGGAGCTGTAATTCCCAGGAACACCCATGACAGTCAGCTGCAGGGCCAGCTCAACCCCTGCTGCAGCTCCCTGCTCCGGAGGGAGGACAGCACTGGGAGAAGGTCCCACAATCTTCCTGGTGGGGAGTTCATTTTCAGGGAAAAAAAAGAGCAAGTTTTGGCTGTGCCAAAAACATCACCTGGCTGGGGGAGCTGCCTCATCCTGCAGCCAAGGGTCCTTTCCATTGGGCTTCCTGGCCCTTCCTCTGGGTGTAGCTGGAAAAGAGCAGGCCGTGGTCCTTTCCCAGTTCCCAAACTTCCTCTGCATCCCCAATGATGGGAGAGGGTGTCCCCTCCATGGCACAGCCCAGGACCCAGCACCTTCCTGCAGGGCTCCAGCCCCAGGGCAAAGGTGACCCCCCGAGCTGTTCTGGACAGGATGGGGTTGGGATGAGGTTTGGAAATCTCCAAAGGTCCCATCTGGGCACCTGGATTTATCCAGCCTCACACAGGCACCAACTCAGCTATTAAACACTTCTTCCTTTTGAAGCCAACACTTACCTTTGGTCAACACCATTACGAAGTCCGGGTGTAACCACAGGTGGGACAGACCTGTTCCAGCTTCCTGACCCAGGAGAGCTGGATACATCTGTGTGTGGAAGCAGGAGCCTGCCCCCTCTGCCCTCTTCACAGGGATGGTCCTAGTTTAGGCCACCCCAAACATTATTTCCCTGAGGCCTGTTGGCTTCCTTTCATCTCCTCCCCATGAGGCTGCTTGGAGCACCTCGAGGCGATCACAAAGGGATTCCTAAACCCAGGTGAGTTTGCCGTGATCAGAGCACACCTTTTTCCCTGAAAACTTGGACATGTTCCTTACCTGGAGGCGCAGCATCCATCATCCATCCAGTGTGCTGAGGGTGGGGACACAGCCCGAGCCCCCTCAGCCCCCCAGCTCCACGTGTGGAGGTGACAGCAGGGGACCCAAGGGCACACACTGTCCCAAGGAACACGCTGCACACAGGGCTTTACTACACAGGCAGGATCCACACTACCCCCGGGAGCTGTCAGATGGATGCAGGCGAGCCAGTTTTTCCTGTATCAGGCAAAAAGCTCCAGGATATTTCGGGAACAGCAGGGATTCCTCACCAGGTGATGCCAGTGCAGGCCCTCTGGTGGGAAGGGTGTGCAGTA